CCCCCCGGGCCCCTCCTCCGCCCGGCCCCGAGCCCCTCTGCTGTCCTACACCCTTCTCTGCCCTGCCCTGAGCCCCCCTGGACCCTCCTCTGCCCTGCCCCGAGCCCCTCCACTGTCCTACACCCTTCTCTGCCCAGCCCTGAACCCCCCTGGACCCTCCTCTGCCCAGCCCCAAGCCTCTCCGCCTTCCTCCACCCTGCCCAGCACTGCCAGATCCCCCTGGACCCTCCTCCACCCAGCCCCAAGCCCCTCTGCTGTCCTTCACCCTCCCCAACCCTGCCACATTCCCCCAGACCCTTCTCTGTCTGGTCCCGAGTCCCTCCGCTGTCCTACACCCTTCTCTGCCCTGCCCCGAGCCCCCCTGGACCCCCCCCTGCCCGGCCCCAAAGCCCCTCCGCCATCCTCTGCCGTCCCCAGCCCTGCCAGATCCCCCTGGATCCTCCTCTGCCCTGCCCGGAGCCCCTCCACCCTCCCCAGCCCTGCCCCAGCCCCCCTGGGCCCTTCCCAATGCTGGACAGCCCCAGCGACTCCATTCCTTCACTTCCATCCTAGACCCGCCCTGGCCCTGGCCCTGGCCCTGCCCCAGGCTGTGGTGCCATCCCCAGCCCTGCCCCAAGCCCCCTGGGCCTGCCCTGAACCCCTTCACCTGTCCTAGACCCTTCCTGCCCCTGCCCTGGACTGTGGTGCCAGCCCCGCCCTGAGGCCTCTGGACCCTCCCCAGCCCTGGACAGCCCCTCCGGTGGGGGGCTGTGGTGCCATCTTCAGCCCTGCCCCAAGCCCCACCAGCTGTAGGGCCCGTCCTAAACCCTCTCTGGCCCTGCAGGCTGTAAGGGCTGTCCTAGACTGCCCCCCACCCTGCCCTGCCCCATACCTGTAATGGCTGCAGTGCCATCCGTTGCCCACCCTCATCTCCAAGTCCCGCTCTGGGGTACTAGCCCCCCTGGGCACAAGGGCAAGCTCAGTGGTGGGGTGAGGGGAACCTTTGCATGGGAGCCAGGAGGGCAGGACCTGCCTTGTCAGGGTCTCCAGCTGCACCCCCTTCCCCACCCCCTGGTCCGTTGCCACTACACTGGGGACACCCACTTGGTGTGGGAGGTGGTGTCCCACAGGGGAGCACTGGAGGATGGCGGGGTGGGAGTGCACGGCGGGTGCTGGGGGTTGTTGCAGTGGAGCTGGCAGGGGCACTGGTACAATAATGCAGTGCTAGTCCCAGGGTCCTCTGCAGCACGCGCTGGTTCTGCTGTGCTGGCGCAGCTGAGGTCATCTGTCGCTTTCCCCCCGGGGTAGATGCCGCTGTGCACTGCAGTATAAAGGAGAGGCTACAGAGCTGGTGTGCCCCTGTAAGGGGTGACGTGGGGTGCATCTTACTGGGTAGCTCTTTTGGTGTTTATAAAGCCAGGGCCAGAACCGCTGTCGCCACCAGCCCAGCTGGCTTTGAGGACAGAGCTTGCTCAGTGATGGGAAAGCAAAGACGTGTGTGCAAGTCAGTGGCAGCCAGTTGGACTCTTCCCTCCCATCGCTGGGGCAGGGGTGAACGGCCCGGGGCTCCCGTCCCTCTTGGACTGGGCCCGGTGCAGCCTGTTTCTTTTCCCACCGTTGCTCCAGTTCTCCTGGCAGCTTCTCTTCCTCCCTCCCTGCTTCTCTTTCCCCTTTGTTTTCACATGCTTCCCCCGCCTGCACACTCTGCTCCTTGCAAGCCTCCCCCTGCCTCCCTTGCCCCGTGGCCCTTCATCTGCATTATGTCTCCATGGCTCCTGAGGCCTCGGAGAGGGGCCAGCCTTGATGTCTGCCAATTCCTGCTTTTTCCAACACTCCCTTTCACCTCTGTGCCCAGGGGCTTTATTTTTCCCTCTCCTTTAGTTCTCCTTCGTGGAGAAGCTGGCAGGTGGGAACAGGGGCAGGAAAGCACTTCTTCCTTCTGCCGTGCAGGTGAAGGGCACGGCCTTTCACTCTGGTGTGTGGGAGAGGGGCAGGAGTCAGTGGGGTGGATGGTGGCACAGGTGGGGAGGCAGTGGGTGCTGGCTTGCGGCATTTCCTCCTTGCGGTCTGTGCAGGAGCTCCGCTGGGCTCCCCTTCGTTGCCCCCTGCCCTTGGGTGTCTCCACCTCCTGTCTTGGATCCCTTCTCCATATTGGCCTTTTTTTTGCTTTTCCTGCTTCTTGCCTGCCTTGTCTCTCGTCCCCCCGGCGCGGGCACAGCATCCGCTCCGTCCTGTCTGCCCCTCGTGGTGACAGACTCGCTCGAGGCGCTGCATGTAAAACAGCACCTCGCTGGCATGGGACCATCTCGCCTACCCTCAAGCCCCAGGGCAACTGGCCTGGCTCCCCTCTCCAGGCAAGTTGGACAGATACTTTCCTGGGGTGGTTTAGATGGGGATGATCCTGCCCGGTTGGATTAGATGGGACCTGCAATTCGTGCTAGCCCTGCTTTTCCATAATGTTATGCCCCTTCCCCTGTTATAGGACCCTGCATAGTCCCCTTTGCCCAGCTGCTTCCAGGGAACTGTGGTCTCAGGCCTGTCTCTCGGCAGGATGGAGCCAGAGGCCATCCGATTTGTGCTTGCCTTTTCCCTGGCTCTAGATCTGAATGAATCCAGTGGAGAACCCTTTATCTCAGGTGTGCTCTGCAATCCAGAGTCCTAAATCTGAATTTTTGGGGAAGCTGTGGCCTAATCTGGACCCGGTCCCTTCACTTCCATCAAGCCCACTGTGCCCTCTTCAGACAGCTGGTGGCAATTGCAACTGTTGGCACCCGTGGCTTTGCACTAAGGCAACAGTCTGTCAAGCCTTTCCCCCCTTCCCACTTACTTGTGCTCAGCAAGATGCACCCTTCTCCTGCCTCACTTCTCTCAAGGGGCCTTGCTGGACTCGCTGCATTTGCTTCAATCCCTCAAGTCACCGAACCCTTTGGATCCTTCCCATCACAACATCTTGCCAGAATAGCAGCAGCAGAGGTGGAAAAATACCTCCCTTGGGGTATTACCTTGTTGGCTTGGCATCTCTGGGCTGGTGCAGGTCATTGCACGTGTCACATCTACCCAAAGAACTTTTCCTGCCAGGAGTTTTGTCCTGGCTCTTAGTAAGAGATGCAGGAGGTACCTTGGCAGCTAGTAAGGGAGAGAAGAGCATCCCCAGGGGCCTGCTGGGCTGCTCCACATCTGTCTCCGTGGACCTGTGTGCCTACAGCTTCGGTATCATTTCTGCTGGGCTTGAGAGGGGAAAATGCTTGAGGGGGAACTTGAGCAGGGTTTACAACATGGAAAATGGTGAAGAGAAAGTCACTAGGGATTTATTACAGACTGTCTCTAAACACAAGAACAAGGGGTCACCAAATGAAACTGGTAGGGAGAAAGTTTAAAGCAAACGAGCAATTTCTTTTTCACCTGGCGTGTCCAGGTGCGGAGCTTGTGGCCGCCAGGTGTGCTAGGAGCTGATAGTTTAGCCAGATTCACAAAGGGATTGAGCCGATTGGACAGATCAGTCGCTATTGAGAGTAGGAGCGAGGGGCACGGCTTCTGAATCAGAACTTCCTAGGCCTTCACTGCTGGAGGCTGCAGGGGAGGGAGGTGGAGAGACCTGCTGGAAATAAAGCAGTCGGCATGGCAGGGAGCAGTAGAAGGGATGGCAGAGGCTAAGCATGACAACTGAGGAGCGAGGTTTCCACCTGCGGATCGGTGGGCCCTGGCTTAACCTGTTAGTGCTGGGAATCGCGTGCACGGATGACCAAATACCCACTTCCCTACGTGTCGCCAGGCTGCTAACAGCCGCTGTGTTGGTCCAAAGTGCCAGGCAAACCTGCTCATCAGCGGCAGTCATTCAGAAAGTTCTCAGTGTTGGAAACTGGCAAGCCGCGGCACGTGCTGGTTAACTGCCAGATGGGGGGATTGTTTCCAGCGTCCGACGTAGAGCTCGGAGGGCTGCCCCGTGACTTGAATGAGTGAATTGCATGCACGGAGCCAAGCCGCCGAGCTCTGAGGTTGAAGAATGAGTGGTGGAAGCTGCAAGGGGAAGGAGGGCAGGGGGTGAATCGGTCTGGGTACGTCCTGCCCCAGTACCTTAGTATCCCTGCTGTGCCCCTGCGACGGCCAGGGTGCTGGGCTAGATGGACTCTGGGGTGTGACCTTGGATGCAACGTGGCAAAAAGTAGTGTCTTTGCAGTGGTTTACAGCTGTATTATGCATGATCCAGGGTGGGCCGATGCCCCCCCGGGGTTAGCAAGGATTTGAGGGGGCCTCGTCCCTCGGTGCTGACGTTCTTTTATTTCATAGATGAAAAGGAGAGAGAGAAGCGGAGCCTCCCTGCCTTCCTGCGGTGCCTCCCCTGGGGCAGGAGAAGCTGGAGGAAAGGACATTCAGCGACCAGGAACCATGTTTCTGAGGGTATGCTCCACTCCACCGTGTTCCCAGCAGGGGCGTCCCAACGCGGACACTTGTCTCTTGTGATACGTGGCAGCTCTGCTTTTGTCCTGTGGCCATGTTCCCAGGTTTTCCAGCTTCAGCAGTGGTCAGTCAGGACAAGCCTTGGGACCCAAGTCTCCCCTGTGAGGCTGAGTGCTCCCTCTAACACGCAAGGTCTTCTCGAGAAGCTCTAGCTGGCTCTGATTCCCAAACCAATTGCTGGCTGCTTTCCCTGGGGAGAAACCCCTCTAGTCCGGGATGTCTGGGTTGCAGTCCCAGCAGGAGCACTGGCACAGCCCGGTTGCCATCCCCAGCCTTAGCAGCAATTCTGACAGACCCTCTCGGCAGCACACGGGCTTCCTTGCTGCATGCCTCTAGCTGCTTGTGCTCAGCAGCGATTGCAGTAGCCTTCAGACAGTGCTGGGTGTGCTGCGGCAGTGGATCAGCCAGCCCACGCCTAAACTGCACGTGGCAAATGAACAGCACCGCTATGCAAGTGCTCAGCTCTTCGTGTCTCCGAGTGCTGCAGGACAATGCACTAATCCCCCTGCCTGCACACCAGAGCTCACGCCTGTTCCCACCGGTGCCCATGCTGCCAGCCGTGCACAAGTCCACATCGTTCTTTCCACCCCCTCTCTCGTGTCCCTGCCCTGTTCATGCGTGTTTGCACAGCGGGAGCGAGTGACTTGCCACCCTGCCCCTGTCCCTGGGTGATAGGGCTTGGAAGGGAAAGGGACCACGCAGGATGCTGTCTTGGGAGGCGTTCTGCTCCGCCAGATCTTTTCTTTGCTCCTATTAAAACCCAGTGGGAGCATTTCTTTCTTCAGCTACTCCTGGCGGTGATTACTAGCCAGCCGCGTTCCCTGGGCATTGTTAACGGCAGGTTTCTCCGCAACGGCTTGGAGTCCTGCTCCAGACTGCACTGGCTGCTCTTTGAAAACACAGTTTCAAGCAGACTTCCTGCACCTCTTGCATGGCCTGGCAGCGTCCCCATCCCGCAGGGGGCCCCGTTGGCCAGACATTACAACTCACTTAGGAGGGAGCCTGGACTCATTTCTTTTTGCCTTGTCGGGGACCAGTTCTAATGCCTGCCACCTGAGGGGTCCCATCATTACAATAATTAACACAGCAATGTTACAGCTGGGGCTTTCCTGAGCCCCACAGCATTGCCCAGCCTGTGTAGTACTAAGGCACGTGCTTTACCACTGAAAAGTGAAGGGGTAAGAGGATGGGGTGAGAGAAATCCTCACCCTGCTGTCTGTCCTAGGGTGGATCAGATTGCAAGACTGGGACTGGGAAGCTCTGGCCCTGTGAGCTGTCCAGGTGAGTTGGCATTGGAGCATGAACCCCTGCTTTAGGAAGTAGGGGCGATCGCAAAAGGCACTGACAATTTTGGGCTCCCATGAAGGCGGCTGCTGCGGCTCTGTTATTTAAATGATCAGTTGCCGTTTGCAAAGAGGAGGTTAGTAGGAACTGGGACGGCTGCCCACGGCTCCCGCAGTGACTCCGTCTCCTTCCCCTTGTAGATGGGCTGCAGGATCCGGAGGAGGGCTTGGCTCTGACCAGCGTGTCGCCCAATGGGATCTGTGACGACGCTGGAGGCACGGACGCTTAGATGTGGGACGGCTCCTAGAGCATCAGGACAGCCTGGTTCAGCAAGGAAGTCATCACACAGCTCTTTGGAAGAAGCTGCTTCCCTCACTTGACAAGGGACGTCTGTAGCAAGGAACAGCCTCCAGAGTCCCAACGAGAGACCTTCCCCCTGCCTCCACCCCTGCTGCGGCCGAACCTGTCGGAGTCATTGTGCTTTGGTGCTATGTAGAGTGAATCAGTAGGTCCGTGAACGGAGCATGTGCCCTTAAGAAATCCCGTTTTCAATCTCCTTTCCATTTAGAAAAGAACAGCAAGGGGGAAAAAAAGGCACTAGAGCTGCATGAAGTATCGTGATCGTGTGTTTTATTTCCATAGATGAGCCGGCAGACATGCCGGTCGGCAGGTGAAGAACAGCAGGGGTTGCCACGGCCATACCGTGCAAAGCACACTTGTGTCACACGAGTCTCCTGGCCATGAGGCCAGGTCATTCCCTACTGCTACTTTTGGTGCTAAGTAGTCCCTTTGCAGATTGCACTGGAGGCAGGGTGAGCCCGAGAGCATCTGCAGTGTTTCCACTGCGTGGATGAATGTCGTTATGGTGGGGAGCTGCGTGATGGCTGCCTCCCTCGTTAATTAACTGTGAGCCCAGCAACATCATGGTTGTCTTGCCTTGAGGACCAGCCTGTCCATTCATCCCATTAAGATGTGACTTAATATAGCTGACTTTTTAAAGGAAATCTAAGCGTTTCATAGTTTCAAAGATGATACTTTTAATCTGCCTGGCGACTCACTGTTTTGATCGCATAGAGAGGATTCTAGCAACACTAGCAATACCCAGACTTCAAATGCAGTGGAAAAATGTGACCTTTTGGTGAGTGCACTTTGCTGGGTGTGAGCCCGGGTCTGGCTGCCTTGGTTCCCTGTGACAGGGCTGTATGTGGTCAGGCTCTGGCTTGGACCAGCGCTCCACAATTATGTCCCTTCTAGCTGTCCTCAAGACAAGCTGGACAACTTTTCTGTTTGAGTAGGCACCTGTAACCATTTTGCTTTGATTTTTTTTTCCCCCAACTTATGTGTCGTGTCCCCCCCCTTTCTGTTGGCGGCTGCTAACAGCAAGATTTGGGTAGTCCTAGACCCCCCTCGACTCTTGGTCTGTTGAAAATCGACTACCTCCTTCATGACAGCAAGGTGCCTTAGGCATTGCTCCATCTGCTGCTTAGAGCATGGGGCTGGGGCGTTGGGGGGGGTTCCCAGGTTCCTTACCCAGCTCTGCTAACAACTACGGACATTCATTTCTCTTTGCCTCAGTTTCCCCCTGTCAAGGTGGGGGATCATGATGCTTGCAGGGGAGTGGTGAGGTTTCATGAACCTTTGCAAAGTGCTCCGAGGGCAAGGGACTTGGGAGAACGGGGGTTAACTAGTGTGCATGGGAGCAGGACACCGCTCTGTGATCTTCCAGTGGCTCTGCTGGGAGAAGGCAGCTTGCTGCCCAGGGGGCTGTGCTGGTGCCTGGTCAATGGAAGAGAAGTAGCATGGAGAGGGGTGAGGACCAGGAGCAACAGAAGAGCG